TATTTGTTGAAATCCGTTCGCAAGGTCAAATGTTGAAAAATAAAGGGATCCCCCCAGTTGATCTAATATATCCCCTATATTCGGTAAAGGGTAAGCGTCACCGACAGTTTTTTTATTTAATTCTCGGAAATCGATGACCATTCTCCACCTCGGGGTTCCATCACTCGCCGGGCTTTTAGGTACTATCCAAAGTGGCGAGTTATATGGTGAATTCGATTCCTCTATTATTCCGTCTTCCAATCGTTTTCTTAACGTTTCAGAAATAAATTGTCTATGAACAGGAGGGTGCCTATACTGTTTGGTATTTACGGGAATTCTATTTTCAAGATGGATTTCGTGTTCTATTAAGTCCGTGCAGGGCAATGGTTCTCCGGGTAGTAGGAATACGTGTGGATACCTTTTTAGTAGTCGCTTAACGCTTTGGAGCTCGCTTGGACTAAGATGTCCGGTCCTGATTAATTGTAAGAGGTTCTCTCCCCTCTTCTTATATTGATCATTGACCTGCCTGGCTACTTTAGATTCCGAAACATCTTCGCCGCCAGAGATGGAGAACTGCGATTTAAACTGCTCGAACGGCAAAATTTCTCTCGGGTCCACTTCAATGGTAACTTCCTCGTCATCATGTGTATTAATTGCCATGATTTTACAGGTATTATTTGCATTTGCGACTACTCCCTCTCCAAGAAATACCTTTTCGTCCTTCACGTCAATCCTAGGCAGGTAGCCTTCTGTCAACTCGGTTTCGATCAAGTTGATTTGAATAATTTGACGAGATCTTGGTCCTATAGTGTATTTGACCGTACCGTGATTGACCACGTTCTTCACTCGTCCGGGCTTAGAGTTACTAATCCTTTCATTTGCAAGCTGCTCTATCGCATAATCCAGGTCCGAATCAGTTTCAAGTTCTGATATTTCATCGTCTTTCGGTACTATGCGCATAGTTTTGATAAGATTGTCTTGTAAATGTTCCATAGGCACATTAGTAGGTAGGAATGGTATCGGATTCATTAAATCACTGTTTACCATTAGGGTTCCATTATAATACGATATAACTGCACTCGTGTCTATTCAATAGTCCCTTCCTAACATGCCATCTTCTTCAATGGGGAAATTATTCCACACTATATGGAATTTAGCAGGCTTGCCATTTATCGTTAGCAATACAGTGCCTAGAGTCGGAACAGTGTGTGCAGTTATCCCGCTCAGCGTAGTCGACTCGCTTGGGTCGAACCTCGTAGTCCAATGTAAGGCATTAAATTTTATAAGATTTACAGCCGATCCATTATCGACCATAAATACAGTCCACCGTTTATCGGTCTCGGGTATTCGAAATCTTACTCTTGTAGGCGCATGGATTTTATTATCTCTTGCGCCAGGTCCCCGATCTGCGGCAACTGCGACGACTGACTCGGAAGCAACGTCTCCGAATTTTTCAGTATCGTCATCACTTTCGCTGGCGGTACTCCCGGCTTCTCCGCTTCCGGCGTCTGTCGAACTTCCGTTATCAGAGTTTTCGCCTGTTGCTGCCGATAATTCTGAGCCGGGGATGTCTGAGATGGGCCCGCCGCAGTCACTCCAGGGCGAGCCCCATCGGAGTTTAAATTACCGGGATTTCCTCCAAAGTGTTGATACGGTGGGTTCGGTCTCAACTCATTGAATCTCTGTTGTTGATCGTAGGCAATTGCCCCGTATCTTCGTCCCGTAGGGTTTTGATACATGTCCGTATCAGGATTGTACAATCGTCCTGGGTGACTGCCGTTATCTTGAAAATTTTTATTCCGCTGGCGTTCCCTCCAATTTCTAAACATAAACTGCCTCTGCCCCTGGGACTGATTTTCCTGTTGTCGAGCCTGGCTTTCCTGGTTCTGATTTTGGTATTGTTGTCGTTGATTATTCTGATAAAATCGTCCGTTCTGTCGTTGGATAATAAATTGTTGCACTTCCGCAGGTACCTCTTCCCATTCTTCGTAGTACGGTTCCTCAGCTTCAACTTGCTGGTCCTGAATATACCCAACATTAAATCCACGGTTAATCGACAGCCACTTACTCATACTAAGGTCCTCATTTTTTGGCTTGTTCTTATTTCTAGTCTCTATGCGAAGGGCTTCCTTGTAAGCCTCCTCAAGAGACTTCGGCTGCTTAATATCGACTAAGTCCCCGATTTCTTTCGGCAGCCCGTCAATGAAGGTTTTAAGTGTGGAATTCTTTATCGGGGTCATCATGACATCACTATAATCAGTTCCAAGTTCTTCTTTCAGGGCGCTCTGTGCGCAGTTTAATAGAATATTGATACGGTCGTGAAAATCTCCGACCGTGTCCCCATTTTTCATTCGCAAATTATGAATCTTTGAGTCATAATAAGAGAAGTCCTTACACGGGGCAAATCGCTCCTTAAGTATTTTAACTAGTCCCTCGGTTGTATTTACGGTTTTACCGTAAATGCAATCTCTCGCTGGTCCCTTTAATTTCGCTATGATCAAGCGAATAAAATTTGCTTCTTGTGTATCAGCTATAAGTGCCCTTCCATTACGGATGTTCTGAATAAAGTCTTTTAGAGGAACATTTTTTCCGTCAAATTCCGTGATTCCTTGCACAATACTTTGCAAAGTGAAACTTGCTGACATACTAGTTAGAAGATTTAAGGTCGCTTGTTCAGTCGCCATTTTCTGTCGTTTCTTGGGGTCAGATGGTAAGAGACAAAAATACGCGAATGGGAAGAAAGAGAAATAGAGGGGAAAGAAACTCTAAAAAAAAAATAATATAACACGCGGTCACTAAATTGCGACCAAAATGATTATATAATATAAGAGTAAATAGTAATTATTATTATAGCTAAGGAAAAGCAAAATTCGATTAATAATGATAATAATACTCAAATAGGATCTACACCAGGTAAAAAGTAAACTCAAATTTGAATCGTTATTTTGGGTCTGACCTCCCTAACAGGAGAGAATAATATAAATTTCCTAGTAAGGCGTAAGACAATAGAGCGGTCTAAACTTGCAAATAAATTTCTATCGGTCGCTCCCCATTAGTTAAGACTGTTGGCGTGTTACTGATCCCATCTAAATTTTTCGCTAATCCTTATTATTTAAAAGAAATAAGAGAAGGGTGAAATTAATCATTACAACCCACTTATCAGCAAAAAGAAAAATAGATAAAAAAAAAACTTCACCTTCATAAAAGTATTAAAACAAAAGTACTTAGCGAAAGTAATTGTTTCAATTAAAATTGACCAATAGGCAGGTGACCGCAAAACCTCTAGCTCAATTTCGTTAATATTTGCAAGCTAATTAGAAAACACGAGGAATTTACTCGAACAGGAAGAATGCAGAAGAAAAGAAAGAGAGAAAAGAAAAAAAAAATAAACTCAGTCAGCAAAAGAAATTCGAGCGCGTTCAAATTTCCCGTTGGTTTCAGCTAAATCAAACGCGTGAGAAAGAGCGAAAATTTCTTCCTCGCTAAACCTCAATTATACGCCGGAAGAAACGCTTCGGGTTTCAACTCCGCGTGCCGCTCCAAAAAGAAATTCCAGAGCCCATGTGTTAATTTATATATATATATATATATATAAAAGAAATCAATAGAATTAAAAGTAGACACAATGATTTTACGGCATTTAATCGAAGGCACTAACCACGCTCTGCTACCATTTGTTACGTGCCAGTTTTGATGTCTCTTCAAAACTGGCGCGTGTTAGACCGTTTTTAGCTCCGAGTGGTCCTAACTCGGGTGGACTAGCCCTTCAGTACGGTACCCCGACCGTGTCACCGAATGGATCGCGTCTTCACCGATAATATCCGAAGTTCGTCCTTGCGAGAGCCAGGCGGCAGTAATCAGGCGGGAAAAAGGGAGGGGGGGCTTCGCCGATTGACTTAAATGAACTTACGCCGGTATGTTAGATAAGTTTATATATATATATATATTTTAATACGTCGAATAATACTTCTAATAATAATATCGCGCTACTATGTGGTTCGCGATTTATTAAAATAAATATTTTAGTTTACGCGGTCAGCGGTGTTTACACACTTGGTCCCGGTACGCAATCACGTGGATTCACCGAAAGGGGAACCTTGATTATGCTTAGTAATATTAGAGCGAAGAGAGAGAGATAATGAAATAACAATAAGGAAGAGATTTCACCTTATGGAGGATAGAGCTTAAAAGTACTCACTCTGTCGTCTAGGTCCGAGATATTGTTAGGTTCGTTTTATAGGTAATCACTGGTTTCGAATTAATTCAATAAGCTGGTCCAATATATTTTCTTTATCCAATAATATTCCAATAATATTCCAATATTATTCTAATAGTATTCCAATAGTATTCCAATAGTATTCCAATAGCAAATAAAAGGTCGTTAGAAATAACGATACTCGGCACTTCGATATAATTTTATTATAATATTCTCTAACTCTTGCAGGGGGCTCTTAATCGAGCGTTGATTCCTGACTGACTAAGGATTGGTTTCGTTGTTTACGCCGGTTCGTTATATATCTTTTGTCCCTCGCTTTTCGTCTCTCTCTCGCACATATACTTTAAACGTTTACGCTTCTCGTATCGGATCGTCTTACCTAGCTAAGCACGCTGACCGAAGCATGCCGTCGCAGCATGCTGGCACAGCGTGAATCAGCCTCTGCCGCACGTTCCCACCGAGTCGCGCACACGAATACTGCTGATTATACTATGTCCGAACGGAAGTCTCGGGTCCGAAATATTATTTGACAAAATAAAAAAAATAATACAATGAAGCGTCACGTAACAATCATCAATAGTCTATTTTAAGTACTGATTAATATTCCATATTTAAGTAGTTAAAAAGTGCAAAAGAGAACCTCTGCATATCGAAATTTATTTATTTTTAAATACGATGTATCTACGAACATGAGCATTGAATAATATAGCAAACAAACTCTTCTTTTTCAAATTTTTTCATTGAGACAATTATGAACGAAGGCACATTAATATTTTCTAATTTCATTTTAATTGCTGTTGAACAGGTAGGAAAGAAATAAGATTTGATACATTTTGCAACTTAGCAGCAAGATTTCTTGAAGATGACGCAGATGCTGAAGCTGTTCAGGCAGAACTTCGAGAAGCTTTCCGTCTGTACGATAAAGAAGGAAATGGTTACATAACCACAGAAGTTTTTCGAGATATTCTCCATGAGTTAGATGATAATTTGACGCCAGAAGAATTAGATATGATGATCGATGAAATAGATGCTGATGGCTCAGGAACATTAGATTTTGATGGTACAGTAAATAAATAATTTTATCAGAAGTTATTAATAATTTAGTTAAATGTAGATGATTTAATTAACATTAATTTTGGATAATTTATTTAAGTAATACAAGAAAATTTAGCTCGATAACACAGAGTGGGATATTTTAATCTATGCATCTAAGCATAATATGAAAACAAAGTTGAGACAAAAATTGTATCATGGCGAAAGGGACATCTGTTGGTGCAAATTATGTTAATGTGATTAATCATTGATAAGGTCATTTGAAGTGTATAGAGTGTTTTTTAATAAAAGTCATTATTTCTAATACGGGAATTAAAAAAAGCGGGAAATTCTGCATCTAAAGAGTATTTTGTAAATCTGTTCTCGTGATCTCCAGAAAATCATTTAATGATCAAACTAATGAAAATTTAAATAACTCTTTTATTTCAAGTTTTTCAACCAACTTTTGTCATAAAATTATCTTTCTTGAACATATTGAGCTTCGATATGAAACTTTTTGCATTGAAAATATTGACCTTGAAGTAATTTTTTCAGGTATTTAAAGACCATAATCATTTTTTCAAGGAAAATCAACATTTTCATACATGACTAAGAAAAACTAACTATATAAAAATACTATACAAAGATGTGAAACTAAGCCTTTAATAAAAATTCATACGTAGAGCACTTCATTTTTTTTATACCGTTTCACGAATAATTTTTAATCTCTTCAGATCATTATTAAACGTCATAAAATTGTACAGTAATATCAATTTTTACAAATAAATATGGTTATTTGAATTGGAAACATATCTAAAAGCGTGAATTATCCGTAGATATCTCATCAAGAGAATAAACATTCTATAGCTACAGACAGACAAGTCATTCTAATAACGTCAGTGAATTATCTCACCACGACACACTTGGAATTTCACTGTAGCGATCATCGACATGTGAAGTATCATAAACCTTTCTATTGATATTTTAAACACTCTTACCGTCGCATCAGATCATGTTATACAGGGTGTCCAAAAAGTAACGATACACCTGAGAAATTTTCTAAGCCGGTTATTTTTTTAACCGGGTGAAGGTTGTTCTTGAAGTAACTTTTTACGAGGAATCCGATGGTAACCTTGGATTTGACCTTGAACCTCATTTTCAAGGTTATTTTGAGGTCAACCTCATTTTTTTAAATAGAAACCCCTATTTTTTATGGCGGAATCGGAAAGAGCGGAAAATTTTACGTCCAGATATGTATTGAGGTATGAGGTTGAGGTAACCCCTAGAGGTCAACTGGAGGTCAAAGTATGAATTCTTAAAAATCTCGCGAATTCAGTCGTTAAACAAAACAAACAAAAAGATAACCCCAGGTAACTTTCAACGGTGCTCTTTAATTTGTCCTTGAACCTCATTTTCAAGGTTATTTTGAGGTCAACCTCTTTTTTTTAATGGGTACCCCTATCTTTTATGGCGGAATCGAAAAAAGTGAAGACTCTCACGTATGGATGAGTTGAGGTTTGAGGTTAATGTGACCTCTAGGGGTCAGATGAAGGTCGAACTGTGGCTTTGTAATAGTACCGGGATTTTAGTGGTACAAGGAAGCAAATAAAGGTCATGGAAACCCCCATTATCGACAGCGGCAATCGAAAGAGCGGAAAATTTCACATCCAAATATCTACTTAGATCATAAGTCAAGGGCGAACTTAAAGTTTAACGTCAGTCGAAGGTCATCCAAACTTAAAGACGCCCTAAAATTTTTTAAAGTTTTTTTCATAATGGGTATTTATTTAGTATTTGCCCATCGGAGATCCGTGACCTTGAATTTAACCTTCAACCTCATTATCAAGGTTTTTTCAAGATCAATTTTTTTTACTTTTAGCGTTACCCAGGAACAACGACGTGGACGTAGTAAAAATCTGTCCCCTTGGGGTGCTTTATTTTCGTGAGTACCCCTCGCCTCTCACGATCGGGGTGCTTGATTTTCGTGAGTTCCCCTCGCCTCTCACGATCGGGGTGCTTGATTTTCGTGAGTTCCCCTCGCCTCTCACGATCGGGGTGCTTGATTTTCGTGAGTTCCCCTGGCCTCTCACGTATGATTTATCTTACATCAGCACATCTTATTTTAAGTGCTCGAATTGTTCACCGTTCACTTCTTGACAGTAAGCTAATCGGTGGTAAAAAGCATCAACAGCATTTTGGATCATTTCAGTGGGAATGAGAGCTGATTCGTCTATGATCCTTTGACGTAATTCGTCCAAGTTTTGGGGTTTAGTTTTGTATACCCGATCCTTTAGATAACCCCAATAGAAATAATCTAAAGGCGTCAAATCGGGGGACCTAGCTGGCCATTCAATTGTGCCTCTCCTTCCTATCCACCGATTATCAAACACCTCATCTAAGTAAATTCGAACGTATCGTCCATAGTGAGCTGCAGCACCATCCTGCTGATACCATGTATTTTCGAAGTTGTCTCCGACTATTTCTCTAATTGCTGGAACTATTTGATTACGAAGCATCTCTTCATAATTTTGAGCGTTTAAGTTACCATCAATAAAGAATGGCCCTATGATTCGATTATTCACTATTCCAGCCCAAACATTCAACTTCTGAGGATATTGCGATTTATCTTCTCGCATCCAGTGTGGATTTTCCGCACCCCAGTACCTGCAATTATGTCGATTTAATGTTCCGTCAAGTTGAAAAGTTGCTTCATCAGAGAAAACTATGTTTAATGGAAGATTTGGATTTTCAATTATGCGTGCCATCATATCTTCACAAAACTCAACACGACGATCGAAATTTGCTGTTTTTAAAATGATATGTACGGACGATGTACTTATGTCATGCTCTTGAGCAACTCTGCGGATAGAATTATATGGATTTTCAGTGAATGATAATAAAACATTTAATAAATTCTCTTCATTTGTTGCTGAGCGTGGTCTGCCTGACTTAGGTAGATTTCTGACATGGCCAAAATTTACAAACCTTGAAATAGTATTCTGAACAGTAGACATAGCAATTGGAGTTCTATTAACCCGAAATGTCTCATTAAAAAGATTTCTCACTGCCCTGTAAGATCTTTCTACTCCACCCCAGCCTCTCATCATAAGAAGTGATATTCTTTCTCGTTCAGTGAGGCGTTCCATTTTAAGTCAGCGAATCGAAATTTACTCAAAAATCAATCAGAATTAAAAACAAAAAGTTTGCAACCCAAATAAATGTTTTCAAAAAATGAAAATTATAATTTGAGTACTTTTACAAAAAAGTTCTACTACAGTCCGACTAATGCACTAATGCTTTATGGAGATTTTCGAATGGTAAAATCTTTTCAAATATGTTGCTTTTTTAAATATTAATTTTTGAAAATGCAATTGTCCCGAAGAATAAGCTCAAAACGATAAAGTTAGGCATAGTACATTTCCTAAGGATAGAACCAAGTGAAATTGTTGGTGGATTTTCAATGAATAGGTATGGGATAGTAACCTTAAAAAGTTTAACCGGCTAATCAAGTTATTAAGAAAATAAGCGTAAAAAATCATTGTTGATAGGCGAGGGGAACTCACGAAAATCAAGCACCCCGATCGTGAGAGGCGAGGGGTACTCACGAAAATAAAGCACCCCAAGGGGACCGATTTTTACTACGTCCACGTCGTTGTTCCTGGGTAACGCTAAAAGTAAAAAAAATTGATCTTGAAAAAACCTTGATAATGAGGTTGAAGGTTAAATTTAAGGTCACGGATCTCCGATGGGCAAATACTAAATAAATACCCTTCTCCATTATGAAAAAAACTTTAAAAAATTTTAGGGCGTCTTTAAGTTTGGATGACCTTCGACTGACGTTAAACTTTAAGTTCGCCCTTGACTTATGATCTAAGTAGATATTTGGATGTGACATTTTCCGCTCTTTCGATTGCCGCTGTCGATAATGGGGGTTTCCATGACCTTTATTTGCTTCCTTGTACCACTAAAATCCCGGTACTATTACAAAGCCACAGTTCGACCTTCATCTGACCCCTAGAGGTCACATTAACCTCAAACCTCAACTCATCCATACGTGAGAGTCTTCACTTTTTTCGATTCCGCCATAAAAAATAGGGGTACCCATTAAAAAAAAGAGGTTGACCTCAAAATAACCTTGAAAATGAGGTTCAAGGACAAATTAAAGAGCACCGTTGAAAGTTACCTGGGGTTATCTTTTTGTTTGTTTTGTTTAACGACTGAATTCGCGAGATTTTTAAGAATTCATACTTTGACCTCCAGTTGACCTCTAGGGGTTACCTCAACCTCATACCTCAATATATATCTGGACGTAAAATTTTCCGCTCTTTCCGATTCCGCCATAAAAAATAGGGGTTTCCATTTAAAAAAATAAGGTTGACCTCAAAATAACCTTGAAAATGAGGTTCAAGGTCAAATCCAAGGTTACCATCGGATTCCTCGTAAAAAGTTACTTCAAGAACAACCTTCACCCGGTTAAAAAAATAACCGGCTTAGAAAATTTCTCAGGTGTATCGTTACTTTTTGGACACCCTGTATAATATCAAAACTATTGCTTGTAAATTTTCAAATGAAAACGTTGAGCACCTCAATAATGTAATATCTTGAGCAGACTTAAAATTTCTTTTGTGTATTTTTGTATTATGACGAAGAATCGCGGCATGGCCGTCGTTCTGCTGTCAGACTCTCGTCGAGGTCCATGCGCTTTACCAAGCTGCGAGTGTGTTAGTTGAGAGCACACACTTATGCTTTTGCTTGCATTTGCTTTGTTGAGGTGCGGCACTAGGACGAGTGGTGAAGGAAGGCGCAGGTGGTAGTAGGAGAAGAGCGAAGGGAGAAAAAGACAAAGGAGAGAAGAAAAAGATAGAGAGAGAAGAAGATAGAAAGAGAAGGAAGTAGTTGCGCACACAGCCTCGTGCCGATTTTTTTTCAGTCTATACTGAGCTTCAGCATAGGCCGTCACACGTGCCATTTTTGACTGATCTTTTTCTTTCTATCAAAGTTTTTCCACACCCTCGCTGACGAGATTTC